AAAAAAAAAAAAAAAAAGAAGAAGAAGATTCGAAATTCATACACATACTGTGTACAAACACACACACTGGAGAAAAACTGGTGACACTGGCTGCCCTGAGCAAAATCAGTTAAACGCAGAACAGCGGTGTTGTTAAAGAGCAATGAAACGAAGCGACCAGAGGCACAACCGCTTGAAAAATCCCAAAGCGCAAGGTGCTAAAGGGATTGAAACCAAGCGAAGCGATTGAAGCGATCAGAGGCACTACCGCTTCAAAAACGAAGTTTGTGGCTGCCGACTTCCTCTTCCCCCAAATTTCTCTGCGAACTCATCGTCTTCACGAGTTCCGACTTCATCAGCTCATCTGCGAGAAACAGGTACGTCCTTTCTTCTTCTTCTTTTTTATTTACTAAACTTGATTTAGTTGAATAATGATGTTCGATGATGATATCACTAAGTTGATCGGTCCAAAAGCGTTCATTCCGCAGATTTCAACATGTGAAATGTAGAATTTGGTTCTGCACGTATGAATTCATTCCGCATCTATGAATTTTATTTTATTTTTTGGCCAGAGTTTATATTAAAATTTTTTTTATTTAGTTCTGCACTATGAAACGTAGAATTTAGTTAAGATAAAGTTTCGTATCATATCTGTACAGTATAGATTGAAATAGGTAGTTTTTCACTTTATCTTTTTTCTGGGAATGAATTGCTCAAAGACTCCTGTTCTATTCTGTTTAATAATCAACTTTCCAGTTTAATTCTCATGAAATAATTTAATTTATTTCTATTTCAGTTTAATCCAATAATACAAGTTATGCTGATTTTTTTTTTCTATTTTCATTTCTCTTCAGATTGAAAAGCTTAATGGAGTCCAAATCATCTAAGACAAGGAAAAAGGAGGATCCTGGGTGGAACTATAACCGTATGGAAGATCCTATGAACAAGAGGAGTCGCGTTATTTGTAATTTCTGTGGCTTCCCTTCATCTGGTGGCATCTACAGAGCAAAACAGCATCAGATGGGGGGGTTTTCTGCTGTGAAACCATGTGAGAAAGTGCCATTAGAAGTAAAGGAGAAGTTGTGGGCTCTTTATCATCAGAAACTGGAATTGAATGAGAGGAAAAAACAAAATGAACCTGATTTCAACATTGGTGATGATGCTGATGATGTTGAAGTTGAACAAGCTGAACGGAATTCAAAGGGTAAAAGGGCATCAGTTGAAAAACCAGGCTTTTCTAAGGCGCAGAAAAGTAAGAGTCTAATGGATCTAAACCCACAGAAACCGGGAGAAGTTGTGGATATGAGGAAAAAACAAGGCAAGCTAAGACAAACAAGCATGAATGATCCTACCGACCCAGCAAGAGAAACAACAATTCAGTATATTGCTAGGTTTTTTGATGAAGCAAGCATTTCATTTGAGGCGGCTCAGTTGGATAGCTTCATGGTTATGGTAGAAGCTATTGGTCAATATGGTCCAGGCTTAAAGCCTCCAAGCTATCATGAGCTAACAAACAATCTCTTGAAAAACCATCAAGAAAAACGGGCAAAGACTGCTGAAGATCAGAATACTTATGATGCTGCTGGATCCTCTGGTGGCGCCACTGCCCGGTCCTTCCCACACAATGAAGAGGTTTAACTTTACCTTGACCCTACTTTCATGTAGTTTCTTATGGGACATGTCACATGGATGATGAATGTTTTGTGTTTATGTTGTCTAGCTTATCGTAGCTATGGATCAGAGTAGTGCACAGGAAAAGCTTAGCGCAAGAATAACAGTAATTAGATAAGCTAAAGCATGAGTTTGGAATCACGTATAGCTATAAATATCTGTAAGTTCTTGAAAGAGAACACAGTCTAGTTAAGTTAGCTTTTTCATAACTGAAATAGCTAAAAATTTTCAGCATCAAACAATTAAAGGTTCAACAAAAAACTGAATGTAGCTGGAAAGTAGATGTGCATAAAGTGTTTACAAACAGATATAATAAAGCTCAATTAGATACAGCAGGCTTACTAAATAATGGAGCCAAATTCAAGTTTTGGTAAAATATACAGGTTTGCGTTACTAATTTGGACTAGTAGGATCGATGTCAGCTACACTTGACACACCTCTTAAGCTAGCAAGTGTGCAATGAGAATATGAGATGATATACACAAGGGTGAGCT